AGAGGCCCCCAAGAAGCCTCCATGAAGTCCCCCAGAAGCCTCCAAAAGGCCCCCAAAAAGCCCCCCAAAGGCCACACAGCGACTGGAGTGTAATGTTATTTTCCCCTCTGGGCGAACTGCGGCGCAGCGCCAGCCAGGTGGAAGTTGGTCACTGCGGCGCTCATGATTAGAGCCGGTGCTGGAAGGGAAGATGGGGAGGGTGTATGAGAAGGAGGGAGGGGGGAAAGGCCCCAAAGAAGTCCCCAAGAGGCCAAAAGAAACTCCCAGGAGGCCTCCAGGAGGCCCCCAAGAGGCTCCCAAGAGGCCCCGCGACGACGTGACTGCACGTGCTCCGGACGTGCACCCCGCGAAGCGAGAGGAATAATAACAAACCGACCACCAACAACAAACTATGAAGAAAGAGAGAGAGAGAGAGAGAGAAGTGGAAAGGAGTTCAGACCATTGGAAAAACGAAAGCCCGCCGTACCCATCTGGTCCGCCGCATGGTCTCCCGTATAGCTTCCTGTCTAATCTGCCGTGTGCCTTCCCGCATGGCTTCCCGCATGGTTTGCGTATGATATCCCGCATGGTCTCCCGCATGGTCTCAGGTATAATAGTCTCCCGTATGGTGATCTCTGGTATGGTCTGCCGCAGGGCCTCCCTTGCGGCCTCCCGCATGGATTCCCGTATGGTCTGTCGCATCGTTTCCCGTAGAATCTCCCAAATGGTCTGCCGCACAATTTCCCGCATGGCCTCCCGCGTGGTCTCTCCCGCATGGTCTCCCGTACGGCTTCCAGGATGCTCCCTGGCGCGGCGAACTGCCCCGACGCCCCCAACCGCACATGGCATACGGGGGGGGTCCACGGGGGCCGCGGGGCAGGGGCCGGGCCAGGAAGGGACTCGGGCAGCCGCCGAGCACTTACCACCGACGGTTGGCCCACGTCCGGCCGCCCCCCGCGGCACTTTCCACCCGCCCTCAGCAAGACGGAGGCACGGCAGCACGGACCACGTGCCTGAAATGACGAACCAACAACACACACCCATACCCATAGGGGGGTCGGAGAGGGCTATGGGTGCGTGTTGTCGGATGGGGGTCCCCGCTCGAACGGGAGCGTTCCCCAGGGTCCGACAACCCGCACCCATACCCATAGCCAGTCCTCCTCTCAACGACCCCCCTATGGGTATGGGTGTGTGTGTGTGTTGCTCGTTCGTCATGAAACCCACCGATCACCCATGAGAGAGGGCGCCTACGCTGCAGTGGTCTGCCGTATGGCCTGCCGTACGGTCTGCCGTACGGTCTCCCACATGGCCTCCCGCCTGGCCTACCCTGCGGTCTGGTCTGCCGCATGGTCTTCCGTGTGGTCTCCGGTGAGGTCTCCCGTGCGCCTCCCTGCGTGGCCTCCCGCATGGTCTCGCTGTATTGTCTGCCGCGTGATCTCCCGAACAGACTCTGGTATGGCCTCCCGCATGGTCTTCCGTATGATCGGAGGTTGGGGGGTGAGATCGCAGTGAAACGGAGGCCCACAGCTGGGAAATCGGTTTCGGTTTCGTGTTCGTGTCGTGCGTGCGGGCGAGGCGAAGCTGCGTGGGCGCGCAAGGGGAATGAACGCGCCGCTGCTTGGGCGAAGTGAAGACAAATGATTATCCCCCGCCCGCCCGTCCAGCGGTGGCCCGCGGTGTCCCGTGGTGTCCCGTGGTGTCCCGTGGTGTCCCGTGGTGTCCGCCGATGCTAGGGCGAAGTCAAGACAAGTGACTCTCCCCCGCCCGCCCGTCCGGCGGTGGCTCGAGGTGTCCCGCGGTTTCCCGTGGTGTCCCGTGGGGTCCCGTGGTGTCCCGTTGAGTGAGATCGATCGTGAGATCGATAGTGAGATCGATACTGAGATCGATGCGATGCCCCGAGGTGTCCCGTAGTGTCCGGTGGTGTCCCAAAAAGTGAAATCGATAGTGAGATCGATAGTGAGATCGGCAGGTGTCCCGTGGTGTCCCGTGGTGTTCCGTGGTGTCCTGTTGAATGAGATCGGTACTGAGATCTGAAATTGAAGTGGTGCCCCGTGGTGTCCCGTGGTGTCCCATGGTGTCCTGTCGTGTTCCGTGGTGTCCCGTTGAGTGAGATCGATCGTGAGACCGATAGTGAGACCGATAGTGAGATCGAGAGGTGTCTCGCAGTGTCCCGTGGTGTCCCGTGGTTGGCCCGTGGTGCCCCGTGGTGTCCCGTTGAGCGAGGTCGATAGTGAGAGCGATTGAGCCAGATGTTGGCTCCCCCCCCTCTCCCCCCCCTCCACAACCTCCTTCTCACCCGAAGGGTGGTCGTATAGGCATGTGCATATATCTAGAATCTAGATGCGTGTCTCCAGGTGGTGCCGAGAGCTCGCCTGCACCATGCAGCGCTCGGAAGGGATGCCTGGGCCAGCATGGCCAGCATGGGGAAGAGCAGCCGCGGGGGGAGGAGGAGGAACGCAGGCCCCGAGGGAGGAAAGCCGTGGGCACCTCCATCCTCGAGCGTCGAGCCCTTCGATCCTCGACCCTCGACCTTCGAGCGTCGAGCCCCTCGATCCGCGAAAGCCGATCCTCGAGCCTCGAGCCTCGAACGGCGAGCCTCGAGCCTCGAAGGCCCCGGGGCAGGGGCGCGCCCGCGCCTCCATCTCGGCGCGGTTCCTCTGCCCGATGGCCCTGCGGGGCGCCACCCCGCGCACGGGGCGCGGGCGGACACGGGGCGCCCCCCGGGGATGCGCACGTGCGTCTCCTCCTCCTCCTCCTCCTCCTCCTCCTCCCTCCTCCTCCTCCTCCCTCCCTCCTCCCTCCTCCTCCTCCTCCTCCTCCTCCTCCTCCTCCCTCCTCCTCCTCCTCCTCCTCCTCCCTCCTCCTCCTCCTCCTCCTCCTCCTCCTCCTCTCCTCCTCCTCCTCCTCCTCCTCCTCCTCCTCCTCCTCCCGGGAGAGGCGCACGCCCGGACCGCACGGATCGCTCGCCAGCGCTCGGGCGCCCATGCCCCGTGCAGCTGTCGATGCCGCGCGTGCGTGCTTTGGCTCGGTGAGCCAGGATTCGGGGGCCACGTGCGAACCCTACCCCTACCCCCCACGAGTTCTGAGGGGGAGGGTGGGGTTCACTTCGTTCGGGAGCCTTCGAGCGGAGTGAACCCCACCCTCCCCCTCGGAAATCGTGGGGGGTAGGGGTAGGGTTCGCATGTGGCCCCCTACAGGATGCTCCTCGGTGGTCCTCGCCGAGGGAAAACGCAGACGTCCGAGCGATACCAAGATCATGCAACACGACATAGCAGTGCACATCGCTACCCGGGCTGTACGGCAAGAGAGCGCCCACAACGGAGCACACACTGCAAGAGCTCTGACCGAGCGCGTCGCCTCGGGGGAGAAGGAGGAAACGACGCACACATAATAGAAGTATGGTCGGGTGATGCCGAATGCACCGGCAAGGAACATTCACGCCCACGGCTGCTGAGGTTCCGCCCCGGCCTCCCTGGGAGCGGTGGACATGTTCGGAGGCAACCCTGTGGGAGGTCTTCCCAGGGCCGATGAAAATCCCATTGAGCCAGATCAGGGTGCGCTCAGGCTGGATTACGCCCGACACTGTAAGCCAGACTGCGCCGGAGCAAGCCGGATGCAGCCAGATCAGATCGGGGTAGGCCAGACTAGACCCAAGGAAGCGCCAGCGCCGATGCGGAAGCTAGCCTCCCAGGAGCTGCAGCCCGAGAGGTGGGCACGTCCCCGCCCGCAGGGGCGGGCGGGCAGCATCCACCACGCCTCGAGGTCGTGGGGCACGATTCTGAAGCGGTGGACGTGTTTGGGTTTTTTCTTTGGGGGCTTCTCTCTGGGGGGGAGAGAGAGAGAGAGAGAGAAACGGGAAAAGCTGAGGGGAATGACAGCGCGACGAACACTCGAAGTACCTCTAAAGAGGAGCGCCGCCCCAGAGCCAACCCGCTCAGGCTCGAAGGAGACAGGCACCGACTGCGGAGAAGGGGAGGACAGAGGCGGAGAAGCAACCCAAACCACTTGGAGAAGCGCTCTGAAGCGGTGGTTATGTATTAAAATTCTGGCGGTGGAAGAACAGACCTCCACCGTAAGACAAAGCCGTGGCGAGGATAAAATCGGCTGGGGAAAAGTCAAGAATCTCTGAAGTCCGGCGGCTTTGGCGGATGTCTCGGGCGCCGCGGCCTTCACGGAGCGTTCCGGAACGCTCCAGAACGATCTGGAACGAATGTATCCTCGTCCTAGCCCCGTCAGACGTCGTGATTGTTTCATGACGTGGACCCCCAGAAGTCTGGACCCCTTCCCCGGGACCCGCTTTTCATCCTGAGCCGTGGTTTGACGGTCCCGAGGCCCAGCGAGCGAGCGAGCGAGCGAGCGTCCACATGGCCCTGCTGCGGGTAGAGCCGCGCCCATGTGGGCAGGACGAGAAGAGCCGTAGCCCTCGATCGCTTCAGGAAAAACGTGAAGGGTCTCATGTCGCGGTCACGAACTGGTCCCCCAGATTCCGCCATTCTAAATCAAGCCTTGAGTGCCATGCTGGTGCAAGTTATGTCGCTGATGTCGCCAGGAGGGCCGTCATGATTCCCACCAGCCTTCAGGGCGTAGGTGGTCTAGGGCGTGTTGTCTTCCATCTGCCCCTCTTCCCCTTCGGGGAGGGGATTATCACTGCTCCTTAATAACCGACACCATGCCGACACCATGCTGACACCATGCCGACCCGCCCCCCCACCATCCCTATCAAAGAACAATACAAACCGCACTCTGCCTCCACATTTAAAGCATGCGCGGCCAACCCGATGCGCCCCCCCCCCACCATCCCTGTAAAAAAAACAATGCAAAATATAAGTTGGGGCAAAGTCTTGACTCATGTTCGTGAGGCCCGCCAGCATTTTGCATTGTTGTTGAAGGACGGCGGGGGTGTCAGCATATTCCCTGCTGAGCGCAGGGCTACCATCCCTGACACCCCCCCCAAAAAAAAGAAACATGCACCTCGCGGCCAAATCTGGATCATGCGCGGCCATCTCGCGAACACTGTCAAGTGGTTTTGGACAGGGACGGCGGGGGTTGTGGCGCGTGGCCTGCTGTGCGCAGGCCCACCAGACACAATAATGGGCATCGGTTTTCGACAAAGATGGCGGGGGCCGACATGTTTCCCCATGTGTGCTGTCACGTGCGCGAGCGCACCTGACGCACTCTGCACGTGCCCCGAACGCCGCGCACTGGGCGCGGCTGGAATGTGCGGCACTACGGCGCACTCGGAGCATGTGGCGCATCTGGCGCACCAGGCGTGCCTGGCACGCTCGGGCCCCAAGGATGCCTGGCGCGCGTGGCGCCCCGGGCACGCGTGGCACACCTCGCCCAAGAGTCGCGCACCTAGGGTCGCTTTGGCCGCAAGTAGCTGCCCATCCAAAGGCGACCGCTGAACATGCTCAGGCTCGGGCGTTACTTATGTGTGGCGGGTGGGAGTGAACTAGACGGCTTGCGGGCGGGTGGGTGGCTTGATCGCTGTTCCATATTAATAAACACCCCCTCCCCCAGGCGACTGGTAGCCAACCAGGAACCATGAGGGCCCCCCCCACCATCCCTTTTGTAAAAAATACAAAACACACTCTGCCTCCAAATTCGGAGCATGCGCAGCCAACCCGATGCGGCCTCCCCCCACCATCCCTGTCAAAAAACAATATAGAGTACACTTGGCGGCGGCGGCTGCGGCGGCTGCGGCGGCCGCGGCGGCGGCGGCGGCTGCGGCGGCTGCGGTGGCGGCGGCAGTGGCGGCGGCGGCGGGGGCGGCAGCGGCGGCGGCGGCGGCGGCGGCGGTGGCGGCGGCGGCGGCGGTGGCGGTGGTGGCAGCGGCTGCGGCGGCAGCGGCTGCGGCGGCGGCGATTTGGCAGTGGCGGCGGCGCGGCGGCGGCGGCGGCGATTTGGCAGCGGCGGCGGCGGCGGCGGCGGCGGCGGGCGGCGCGGCGGCGGCGGCGGCGACGGCGGGCAGCGGCGGCGGCGGCGGCGGCGGGCAGCGGCGGCGGCGGCGGATTGGCCCCCAGTAGCTGCCCATCCAAAGACGTCTGCTGAATATGCTGAGGGTCGGGCCTGACTCGGGTGCTAACGTGCGCGCCCCGCCCCCGGGGAGAGCCGCCGCACAGCATCCCGAGCACGACGGCGGAGCCGGGCCAGAATGTCTGCCACAGCGCCCACAGGCGTGCACGCGGTCGCGCTCGCATCGCGCCAACACGCGCGCACGATGTGGGCGGTGCTTGAACGGCCGAGGGCTCTCTGGTGCGTCAGGTCTGCGTCGTGGCGACGTCGGCATCGGTTTCTGACGCGGCGGGGATCGTTCAACACTCAGTGATCGCGGCCTTGACGTGTCGCAGATTGTTCGACGTAAGCCGATTCCAAGCGACTGTCGCCGTTCAACCTTTAATGCCAACGCTGGGGTCGCCACCGCGTCGACACGACACGAAACTACCGTAGGGCTTCCGCCCGACATCTAGCCGCTTCGAGAAACCCTCAACCACAATTTATTTGTTTTTTCCCCCACCGCACCCATTGGATGAAGGCTCGAACTCGATATAAGCCAAATCTAAAAAACGCCGGCCGGGTTAACGTCACCCCAAACGGGCTCCGGTCATATTCCCCCACCGGAGGCGACAGAGATGCACCACTGGAAGAAACCCTGAACCACAAAATGCTGTCATCTCTCGGGGGCGCATGCTTCACTTCCGCCGGCTTCTGCTGGCCTTCCGCCAGCTTCCGCCGGCGGAGCCGCCCCCGTTTGCCTTCCGCCGACTTGCGCCGCCCTTCCTCCGCCTCCCGTCGAAGAGATGCCAACTCCCCTTCGAGCCTCGAGGCCCTTCGTGCAACGCCTCGTCTAGAAGCACTCCCCCGGTCGTCACACTTCCATGCCTGCACCGCGTCCCCTTCCCGAGGCCCGCTGGCCGCCAAGACGCACCCCTGGGGCCCTCCAAGGTTCTCCAAGACGGGCCAGAAAGGCCACGACGGCCCGCCAAGCTGGCTCAGCAATGCCCCAAGAGGTACACAGCAGCCCTCAATCAGACCCCAGGAGGCGCCACAAGGACCCCAAAAGGCTGCCAAGTCACCGAAAAGAATCTCAAGAGATAATCCGAGAAGGCAAAAAAACATTCCCGTGATGGCCCAAGAGGCGACACAGTAGAATCCTGTGAGGGCCCCAAGAGGGCCCCAGATGGCCCAGGACAGCCCGAAGACAGCCCAAGAGAGCCCCAAGACCGCTCAAGACAGCCCCAAAACAGCTCCGAGAAGGTCCCAAGAGGACCCAAGACAGCCCCTAGAGACTCCCAAGACGGCCAAAAGGGCCCCAAACCAGGCCACGGGGGGCCCAGGACGGTCCAAAGGGCCCCCGAGACGGCCCCACAGGGGACCAATCGAGCCCCAAGACAGCCCAGGAAGGCCCAATGAGGGCCGCATCAAGGAATAGAGACCGAAGGTGTCACATGCTACGGCCCTCTGGGCGGCAGCTGAATACCGCACAGGGCAGTTGAATTCCGTACAAATCACAAACGGGGC